TGACCAGGTGCCGGGTCTTCAGGTTCGCAAGTCCGGTGACTGGATCACAGGTGAAGCCTCTTCCGCAAGCCTTTATAGTCAACATCGGAGACCAAATCCAGGTGCTTCTCTCTCTCTCTCTCTCGCTAATGAATCAGCCGTCACACATTACCAACGAGTGTTTTCATTTGTCGCTTTTAGAAAGAATAATATTAGGCTTCTGCGCAGCGAAGATCAGGGCATGAAAGTACGTGGCATTAGCAGGACTCTTTACCATTTGATTGAAAACGATCTTAATATTAAAAATGCTGAAAAATCAGCGCTCACGCACTCATATATAATTAGGGTGGATAAGCATGTGGCCAATTGGAGAATAAATGGGAATTAGGGATAAAGTTTCGGGAATGATTACGAGTTGCTTATATCTATCATTTATACAGGCTCAATTTACCCTTCCAGCCTATTGAAATATCGAATTTTCAAACTACCATGGCCTGAGCCTGACCAGATGACAAACGTAGAGGGGAATATATGGACAGGGCATGAAGATGACAGGTTTAGGCACCCCTAGCATAATACTCCTCCGGTCCTTAATATAAGACTCGTTTAACTAATTTGATTAGATTAAGGAAGTTAGGTAAGTTGGTTAATTATGAGAAAAGTGACACATTTTTCCTAAAACACCATAATCATCTTTCTTAATACCTCATCTCCCTCTTTTATTTGATTATGGTTGAGGGAGTATCCATAGGGGTAGTTTAGAGAAAATTGATAAATATGATAAATGGGTCTTATATTTAGGACCAAACCCAACTCAATAATTGGGTCCTATATTAAGGACCGGAGGAGTAATAAATAAAAAAATTCAGGAAAAAATGCTTAAAATATTTGCATGCATGTCTTGATCCTTTATATTTGCCGTTTAGATAATAAATACCAATTTTATTACCAAAAACATTAACTACCAATTTTATGTGCTTGTTTTGTAATAAAGAATATCTATCAACGTAATTTTCTTTAAAAAAATCATCATCGATATATATAATAAAATTTGTAGATAGCTAGGAACCATACATTTCATTGATTACGATGCCATTTTCGTACTTCGATCAACTTTGGCCCCCCATTAGTATAAATCAGTCATAATCTCCTGTCCCTTAATATGCATTAAATGAACTCCCACCATATTATATTTGGGTTTAAAAAATATACATTAAAAATGCATTAATTAATAATTTTCCATAGAACAACCCTGGAGGACTGAGAGCGGAGCTGTATATATGTACAAGTCGAGCGAAATGTGTACAACTAGTAAGCAGTGATGTGTGGGCTCGAGCACAACAATTAATTAATTAATACATGAAATCAGCAATTAAGCTCGACGCTATGTGGAGTGATTAGTGTATAGTTTGCAGGCATACATATATATATGTATGTATGTATGTTAGAGTGATTAGTTGGAATTGATTAAGGGCGATATATATATAAATAGATATATTGTGATGTGATTGGTGAAGGTAGTAAGCAATGCAAGGTACAAGAGCGTGGAGCACAGAGTGATGGTGAACTCCGACAAAGAGAGAGTTTCACTTGCCTTCTTCTACAACCCCAGGAGCGATATCCCCATTCAGCCGGCCACGGAGCTGCTTACGCCGGAGACGCCTCCTCTTTACCCGGCCATGACGTTCGACGAGTACAGGCTCTTCATCAGATTGAAGGGACCACGCAGGAAGTCTCAAGTAGAATCTTTGCACAGTTCAACTTCATCCCGCCACACAACGCAACAATCCCTCTTAATTACCGTATTATTAATTGGACACCCTGCAGCCTGTCTCGTTCTCATGCCTCCTCCTAATATATATATAGACAGAGAGACATGCATGTGCTTTCTGTGAAAGGGAGATCAGAGATGCTCTTTATTTCATGTCAAATTAATACTGCCACGTTACACTTCACCTATAAATACAGTCGTTTCAAAATCGATGTATTGATGATGAGAATCGTGTCTTTTGTATCTTGAAAGAAAGGCACTTATCGGATCTTGCTGTCTTTTTCAACTATTAATTTTAATTTAATCTCTTTATATTTTAGGGAAAACTGAGGATCGGAATAATCCTCTATTGAAAATTTTGTTGGTGAGAAAGGCTTGAATCATAGTACTGATGCTTACCGTGTATGATACTCTCTCTCTCTAAAAATTTATCAGGTCTTTTTTTACTAGTAAAATTTTTTGGGTCAAAAACTTTTTTCTCAAATTTAATTTCCTGATATTTTATTAACTCGTATTTATGCTTGTCTGGTTTGTTCGATGGAATTTAACCAGCGATGTTCAAAAACTGTGCATTGGTGTCGAAAGTCACAAACTGTGCACTACTCTACTACATATAGTAGCATTGAGGTTCCTCTTGTGACTTAAAAATTGTATTGGTCTTTAATTACGAGAGGCGAACATACAGCTTTCTGCCTAATCAAGAGGCTAATCGTGTGGTCTCACGTCAGTGCTGAGTCACCCCCTAATAATCAATAATGATGACTCTTTTGGTTTTATTTATAAGTCATTTTCAATATGTTTCATACAAACTAAAAAAAACATTAAACTCCATTAACTCTTATTTAAAATTTAACAACTTTTTGACTTTATCCCTATTTAATATATATTATACCTCATATAAACAAAGTCAATACAATAATAAATAAAAGATAAAACTGTATATCTATATAAACAGTTTCTCTCAATGCCCTATAAATAAGACAAAAAAATCTTCTCTCTTTATCCTATAAATAGGAGCAGAGGAGTATTTGTTACTTTTAAGTTGGAGTTCAAAAATTAGTGCACATTACATCATAATAATAGTTTTAAGTAGATGATGGATTCTAATGAAATCTGTAATACTCCTTCCATTCATGATACACAGGTCCTTTTCTTTCAAATTAGCTAGATCCAGAATGTAGGTTTCTGATTTGAAATTATTTAAAGCATTTGATTTTTGTTTTCCTATTTGGACTTTTAATACAATTAAACTTTGTAAGTAATTAATGTAGTATTGTTTTTTTTTTTTTTAAGGATATGTTTGTAAAACTTCACAAGTCTTTTTTATCTGTCTAATATTATAACTACGACTTTTCAGCTAATTTTTTTATGCGACCTGAGGTGACTAAATTAAACATGTTTCCATCACATCTTCGCTATATGAACCATAGTCCGAATTTTGCCAGGAGTTTAATATAAGTGACATTTTCTATGTGATATGAGAAAATGTCTCTACTCTAGTCACGTTAGTTAATTAGCTACGCTTGTAAACAATTAAAAGATGAAAGTGACGAGTCACACACACACACACACATCCAATTCGGGATATGGAAGCTGTTATCAATTATTTGGTCTGCTTGTTTTGATATTCTTGTACTCCTCCGGTCCTTAATATAGGACCCAATTGTTGAGTTGGTTTTGGTCCTAAATATAAGACCCATTTCTTATATTTATCAATTTTCTCTAAATTACCCCTATGGATACTCCTCAACCATAACCAAGTAGAAGAGGAAGATGGGGTATTAACAAAGATGATTATGGTGTTTTAGGAAAAATGTGTCACATTTCTTATAATTAACTAACTTACCTAACTTCCTTAATCTAATCAAATTAGTTAAATGGGTCTTACATTAAGGACCGGAGGAGTAATTAAGTATTCCATTTTTTATCAGACAATGTTGTCTTTTAAATCAGACAAAGATAAACTGACAGGAAATTATCCTGGGATATTTTGGTTAGTTCATCCTGGGATAAAGAATAGCCCAATATGTTGCACTTGTATGTGGGAAAAACTTCATAATTGGTATAAATTTCGAGTGTGGTGTTATATAAGAAATCAGTCATATTACTCTCCGCTTATGAATTACAATACTGCATAGATATATTAAAAATATTGATAATATTTATATAGGAGATAAATAACATATCAACGCTGACAGCCCGTGTTATATGTAAATTTAAAAATAAATATTAGAGTGCTATTTGCTTCATTTCTCTTGTATCAAAGAAAAGAAAGCAACAGAAGTTAGGTCTAATGGAAGAGGCTAATCATTCACAACATGATGAACCAAGATTTGAATATCTGCTAAAAGAGGTGTCTATATTTTATATCTGATAGTGTTTTGAATAGGATTACTTCTAATAAAAAGATACCTGTTAAAAAAAAAAGGGATCAAACATGGCTGTGAGGGGACGGCCATGTCAATGTCCAGTCGTTCAGGGCATGGCATCAGGAAAAGCAATTACGGTGTTTAGCGAGAAATAAAATTTTAAAATTATTTTTTAATCTAATTAAATTAGTTAAATATACTTTATACTAAGAATCAAAAGAGTATTTTAGCTTCCCATTTATACAGTTGGATCCACAAATATAAAACACTTGTCGGACTGTGTCGTTCAAAAGTCTTACGTGATATATACCGGTATTGAAGAAAAATCTCATAAAAATAATTAAAATTACCAAATATCAGGTGAAATTTGGTAACAGTATTTTAATAGGTTTTAAGAAAATTAAACTTACAAATAACAATATATTTTTTGTAGAAATTTTTTATTTAGAACCTAGTGATTTTAAAAAATTTTAGGATTCTCCCTAGTATTAATTATTTTTTCAAAATTTGTGTGTGTGAAAAACGTGTCTTTTTTTTCACCGAAAAAAATATAATATGATTCGCTAATAAAATGTGCATCAGTTGAAAAGAACATGACTGAAAAAAAAAAAAAAAAGGAAGTTAACTCATTTATACAGGCATCTCTGTTAACAATGGAGTTACCTCGACTTTTGTAAATAAATTGGAAAACAAAGAAGAACACGTGATTAGTTTGCTCAGTATAGGAAACCTGAGAAAAGACAACGCGGGGAAGATTCTGCTGTTCCTCTTCTCCTGTCAGAAGTTTTACCCTTTTGGACCTTTTCCAGTTCCCATTGAATTGAGCTCTCACCCTTCCCATTCGATAAATACTAGGAAGAGAATTCCCTGCCAGATGTGCATTGACTATAAAACCCACACAACTTTCTAGAAGTAGATAATAACACAGACGCTAGTGACGGAATACATATATATTTATACAGCTACATCGCAGAGAAACAAAACCCAATACAATTATGATTGGGATTTTAAGGCTAAATTAGGTTCGCTATTTGCTATTGCTACATGCTTGCTTTTACATCCATGTGGAAAAGACCACATTTTCTAGAAGCAATCAGTCTATAAGCACTTTCGGGGGAAGGTATACGCCTGAAGCCTGATCCTGACATGTGCCAAGTTTCACAATGAAACTAGCACCAAGGTTGTACCTTTTCAGTAATTCAGCAAATGCTCCACTCAGAACTTGGTCTGCCCAATCCTCCACCTCTGTGTCCCTGTCTGAGACATATGCAGCTGCAAGTAGTTGTTCCATGGCTTCTGCCTCGATCTGTAGCGCACACTCAGATCCAAAAATTTTGTGGAAGTTCCTTCTGATCACTTTAAGCAACCTGTCTGCAAGTATATCGAAATTATAAGGTTTAAAAACAACTGTTTCATCGACCTGGTCATACAAATTTTGGAGCCAGAGGTTTTGGTTCGCAGTTGAGACGTGCTCGTAATTTTCACCATCCATGTGTTGCATCTCATTCTGTTCAGCTGGAAGATTTAAATCCAACACCCAGTTTGATGCTGTATGAGCCCTCTTAGCGGTATCTGAAATATCAGGTTGATAGTGAAACTCGCTGATGTCACCAATCAATTTTCTTTTATTTACAAAAACTATATTTGGAATGGGAATAGTCTCTGCAGAATTGCTAACTACAGCGAGGCTTTGGCTTCTAAGGTCTCCAACCAGTTGCTCGACTTTTAACTTGATTGCCCCACCTTTCGTCCCTAATATTCTCTCCTCAGAGTAATTGGAAGACTCCCTGGTCGGGATGCTATCATTTTGGCTAACTGGAAAAGATGTCACGAATATTGAGTTGTTCACACCAACTTCTCTTCCATGCGAGTCAGTAAGCTTTCCGGTCGTGATGGCCTGAGACAAGCTATTTTGAGCCAGCATATCAGCCTTGTCTACATTTTCCAGGAAAACTACAGACAATGGTTTCTTGGACAGCTCCCGCACAATAAAATCAAGAGTAGTCTTCCCTCTGAGTTTCACATCATATCCTTTCATTTCTTCTGAATTTAGATCCACAAAAATGAAACTTTCTTGGCTTCCACACAAAAACTCAGCCAAAGAAACAGCAATTTTCTTTTTACCATGCCTATCAGGTCCCACAAAATTCATCCATATGTCCCCTCTTTGAGTTGCTTTCTGGTGTTTGCCTGTTTTTGCTTGGCAGCAAACTAGCGTCCTAATGATAGCATGCAAGGCTTCTTCCTGCCAGCCAACCCTTTTCAAAAGAGACTGGAAAAGAACTTTGGGATTTCTCAGGTCAGCTCGTCCACCATGGTCAAAACTTGAGCAAGATGAAGACAGGGTTGCGCGCTGGAAAGCATTTGGATCAAACAGATCAACATTCAGAATTATGCGTTCGCCAGTAGTTCTTTTAGTTATGTTGGTGGTGCGGGAAGAGCATAATCCCAAGCCTAGGTCCGTGGTTACAGATGAAGGAGACATTTGACTACCATTACACGTACTTGAGTCGGACGTGTTGCATGATCTAAGGTCACCTGACTGGAGATCTTCAGCTTTCCGGAACATCTCCGAGAGTCTTGACGAGAATTTCTGCTTGGAGACAACAGAAAAAGGACTGCCTGATTGTGACGTAAAAACCATGTGCTCACCGTCGGGCACTCGTGAATTCAGATCGATGTTCTCAATTGCTGACGCATCAGTAATCTTGCCGCTGTGATTGTTGTCCACATCTGTCTTCTTGATGTCTCTGCATTCAAAACCCACGACAGTTTGACAAGTATTTTCATCACGGGGTTGCTGGACATGGTGCCTGCGTGTCTCGTCCACTTCCTTGGGTGGCCCACGTTCATTCGTAACCCGCACAACGCCATCATCCTTGGTGGTCTGCACTGAACGGAACAATAGCGGTTTTACACTAACAAAAACGGAAACAACTTTATGCAATGCAAAAAAAGTATATATACATATATATATATATATATATATATATATATAAACCATGCTCTCGGCCGTCAACTTGAGAAATGTTACGCTAACAAACGATCTTAGAAGGAATTCCTATTGGACACGAAGGTCAATTCACGACAATTATATGTTTATGCATCCCATACCAAAACCTTCAGCAAGCAAATATTTTCTTGAAGACTTTCAGGCCATGTTACTCGACATAACATTTATGATATCCTTTTAAAACTGCACGGAGCCTCATTCTGGCAAATGTCAAGTTAGCAAAACATGGGGCTCAGGGAACGGGCAGAATAAAGATAAACAGCAGCTCCAAACCAACCCCAAATTAAGATTGGCAGTAGGATTTAGGGTTAGTAAATAACCACAGTCAATGAAAAAAGAGAAAATTTCTCAAATGTTTAGGCTTAGCACAGTTGACATATATGAGTGCTGCAGCGCACACCTTCGTATTCAATGGTTTTGCTGAGCCAAGGTCAGGAGTCCGCAGCCACGGAGGAAATGATCGGCAAGAGTCAGGAAATGAAACAGAAAATTTTTCCTCTGAAGCGGCAACCGCGTCTTGTCGAAACCTTTCGCCACATTGAAGGCAATGGGGGATAGAATAATACGAGCAACTTAGTGGACTTTCTAAGTCAGAAGGTGAAGGGAAAAGGCCACCAAATGGGACGAACGAATCCATTAAGCTGTAAATATTATATATAAAAAGAATTCAGTCACGACAAAATAGGCGCATGACAGTAATTGACCAAGTTCAGAGTGATCTTAATCTTAATCTTATATATACACGTATTCTTGCCAAAAAGCGATCTTTATTTAATTTACTATCAGAGGAGTTCGCATTCAAAAATGTATCGGCATAGGCCGCCGCATATCTCGTTCGGAGCCAAAAACTATTACTTCTGTTCTGTCTATAGATCAGAACACCAATAAATTGCCCCGTATCGTCTTTTTTCCATTTTCCTTTCGGTGGAAATAAGAATATAGATACAAAACTACCGACACATGAGAGACCATAATATACACAAAAGACACGAGGACAAAAGAAAACACACACGTGCATCTACGTATACAAATTGATTAACAGACGGCTGGCCTGACTCCTGAGCCTGACCTTGGGAAGTTGTTTATTTACTATTTAGTGACGTAAAAGGACACACAAAATCAGGCCAAGTTCCAAGACAAGGTTCAGATGAATTCGGGAACAAAACAGAAGGATATTAAAGATATACTTACACGATATGAACCACTTACCTTGATCTGGGCTTCTGATATGATTCGGCCATGGAAGGCCGAACAGAGGTGATGGGTAGAAGCTGCAAGTCCCAGTCCCTTTCGACGGATGGAAATTTACCCACAAACTTCAAATAGCAATCATAGCTCGCTGCCGCACCCATCAACCAAAACTTCCCATAATTGAGCTCCAACAACTTTCCCAATTCGCCAACAACATAGCTCACTGCTTCACCTGAGGCTTTCTCGTTCACAAAACACTTCAAGTCCCCGAAATTCACCACTAAACCAGGTCCTACACACTGCTCTACCATTTGGCCAATCTTCTTCAATTTCAAACTCATAGCCTTCTCATCGCAATTCTCTGCAACAAACTTGGAAATATCTTTTCCTATGGATATCACGTGCAACCCACATAATTCTACAGGCAAAATACCATCCTTTCGTTTATCTATGACGTCTGTGAAACTCCGAAGAGCATCACACGCGCATGCACCCAGAAGCAGAGGATTCCTGCCTCTGCCTCTGGAGAGCACCTCTCCTATTCTTTTGTAGTTCTCGTCCCCGTCACACAACCCAGACGATCCGGCAAATGGAAAGGTGAAGCTCCGACGACCCGGATCCGGATGCTCCGTTAAGTTGCAGAGGAATATAGGAGGGCCTCTGGAGCGCGAATAGCGAAGTAGCTGCGGGAGAGGGCGAAGAATAGCGAGCTTAATTTCGGGGCTTCGGAAACCCGCTTCTCCGAACACCCGGCTCACAACGGGGTCGTCAAGTATCGACAATATCAATTGCTGAAGTTCGACTTTCACGCAAGAAACTGAAGAGGGCTGCTGTGAGATTTGATGGTAGAGATGGAAATTCTCGGGCTGTCTCCTTTGGTTCGCTTGAGAACGCTTGATGGCAGCCATGAAAGAGTTGGAAACAGGCGGGTCGTCGGCTACTGGGGCCGAGGGGACACGGTCCAGGGACACGCTCAGGCATAGCTCCAGGGCTTTGAATTGCAGGCGAGACGAGTAGGAAGAGCTCCGGGAACGCCCGCAGGCGTCGCGAAGGATTGAAGACGGCAACGAAAGGAGAGCGGAGACGGCATGGAGTGAAGTGGTTTGGGCATGTCCGCGGCGCCGAGCCACAGCGACCGCCTCGTCGAGCGCGTGAGCTGCCTCCGAAGTTAAGCATTGCCTTGCTACTCCGACGGGGGTAGGCATCGCCGGGGTTCATGTATCGCCACGAATTTGTTGGAAAGAAAAATTAAATTAAAAATGGAAAACTGGAGAATTGGCAGTCCCAGCTTGTTTACTGAGGGAAAAGAATTTTTTTTTTATTAGAGAAAAAAGGTGGGAATTAGGTGTTGGGGGGTGGGGGCTCCAAATTCGCATATATAGATATAATAATGGTGGAGAGGGGAGGAGTGGAGATGGTGGGACCCATGGAAGAAGACGGCGCCAAGGAGCAGATGTGAGGAGCGTTACAGAGAGAGAGAGAGAGAGAGAGTGGTTAGTGGTAGAAAGGAAGAAGAAGAGTGGGCGAGCAACGGTGAAGGAACACAGATTCTACATTGGCAGAGATCTTTTTCTGGGTCTCACTCTGGGAGGTTTAGTTGAGCATCAATATGTCGTCGTCGTCGTCTTTATCGCAATTGTTTCTTTTCTGAGAGAGAAAGAGAGAGATGCTGCGTCCACTTACTTTCCGCGGTCAACGTCACTGTCTGCTTACGTGTTATCATAGGAGTATCATTTACTTTTCACCTTATTATGATCATTATTATTATAACAATAGTAATCTGTTTCTTTTCCTCTCTTTTCTGCAACCCCCCGGGGGGTCCCCTCCGTTTCTTAGCCCTTAATCGTGGTTTGCGATCTTAACACTGCCAGGAGTCGTGCGGCATTTGTGGATGCATGATGATCACAGTATCATCTATATCAAGTTTTTGGGCCAAATTTTATTTTATTTTTCGGTAAAAAATATTTTAAGTTACAGATACGATGGTTTTCGTTTCCCTCCAGTGCGTCAACACTTTAACACACTGCAACAAAACAAAGGAAAAGAGCGAAGTCGGATATATAACAGAGAATAAGCGAGGATGAGAATATTGAGAGGTCATGGATCGCCATCCTCCTGTGTTTTTGTGCTGGGTGTTTTGCTTTGCGGCAGCACTGTACTCTTCTAGGCTTCTAGCTCAAGTATATAAAATTGGAACGTACTCTTTCGGTCCTAAATATAAGACCTCTATACTAGTGTGTATAAGTAAAGGGTCTTATATTTAAGACTGAAAGAGTAAAATTTATTTCCCTTTCTTTTCTGGTTGCTTAGACGGATTATAGCCTGGTGAGCTTCTGTGATCGTTTCTTCTTGTTTTGATGTGTGCCCGCTCAAAATCGATGACAATATATATGGCATCCAAGTAGATACCCACAGCGCCCTCCGATCCCCGCATCCCGAACAATGCGCGCGCGCGCGCGTATGCTCATCATCATCAACTCCGAAGACAAGTGGGCATATACGTAATTTAGTTTGCTGCGACCCCAGACCGTGTCACTAAGGTAAGGTAATTGACATATTATCATGAATCATGTATTTTCCTGTGAATAAAATTGCGTATATATAACTGGTAAATGAAAGATATTTTGATTTTTAGAAGGGGAAATTAAATAATATGCAATTTTAATTATCAAAATTGAATTTTTGTCTCAGGGTTTTGATAACAAGAAAGCGGGACATAAGTTTCTGATAAGGAAAAGAATAGTGAAGTTGAGTGGAATGTAACAGAATGAGGGAGCAACAAATGGTAAACTGAGGGGATGGGTGGATTGGATTGAAGGTAACTAATTATAGTGGGGGGATCGGTATTGGGGGGATGATTGGAGGGCGAGACGTGAAAGAATATAATTCAACCAGGCCAGGGAGGGGCACGACATTACTAGTAAGAAACGAGATGGGTGGGGAATAATTGCAGCAGGGAAGCATTAGATGGTGGTGATCATGCAGTGCACTAATCAACACAGATATACTCCATTATGGAAGTGGGGGTGGGGGTGCATCCTTCATTCCATATCCCCATTTACTGTCCTAAAAGTTACCTTTTTGCGCCCGACATCTTCCATTTTACACCATCACGCTATTGCTTACTAACTATCTTCACGTAAGACTTGGTTATTGAGTTAATTTGGTTTATAAATAGAAAACATATTTATCATGTTTATTAATTTTTTAAAATTATTTTTATTGATACCCTTTCAATCATAGAAAAATATTAAAGATGATGATTATAGTTATCTTAAAAAAATGTGCTATACTTTTTATAATTAAGCAACTTATTTAATGTTTTTAAACTAATCAAATTATTTAAATAAGTCTTGTGTCAATCAAGGAAGAGCAGATCACTGCACCAAAGTATAAGTATACTTAGGAAGCTGATCTGATCCGATCTCGGTTGTTTTATTTGTTTAAAAAGAGAACGAGTGGGAGAGAAAAAGGAGGGAATAGTGGGAGAGTGGGGGAGGTGGGGCTGGAGAAGCATCGGCGACCCGCCATCCCATTGCTTTCCACTTCTTTTCTACTTTTTTTGTGATGAATAATGGGTGAACGAATGGTGCCCCCACACGAGGCACAGCAAATAAAAGGTCCTCGATGTGACTTCCTCTTTTGTTGTTTTCTCCTCCTCCTCCTGTGTCTTCCTTTTTCCAACCTTTTCACCCCCTCTTGTTTGAAATTACCAAACAACCTCGCCCCTCGCCCTCTCCTTCTCAATGCTATTTTCATCCTTTCCCTTCCTCAGACCCTGCCAGACGCCATCCCCTCTACCCCCCCTTGTTTAATTCAAAAAAATGTTTTTACTATCTTTTTAGTTATGGAATTTAACCCTCCCTTCGTTCTCTTCCCATCTCACCCACCCAGTTAATTAATCAATCAATCAACCAACTTACAACTGAATGCGTTCAAAGCGCTCGAGTCAAATCACCCGCTGGCTGCACATGCCAGTGGATTCTCTCCTCGCATTTATGTCAAAAGGTAAATGCTCGGTTTGATATACCTACGTTTGAAATAACTATTTTTATAAAATAACTATGAGATTAAGCTCTGGATGAATGTGAAAATATACAGTGACAGGTGTTATCAGGGTTATTTTACAGGCAGGGTTGTTTTCTTTTTATTATTTTTTCCTTTTTTCAGTTCACACCTCCACGAATTAATGGAGGGGTCACTTAAAAACAGTATTTTAATTTATTATAAATCAAGGCAAAAATTTTATCTCAAATTCCATAAAATTACTTTTAAAAAACTGATCCAAATACCCGAAAACGCGAAGCGCCTAAAATAAATCTTGAAAACGCAGCTAAAAAGAACAAAAAAGATAATAAGGTATACGTGTAAGCATTTGAATCCGCAAACTCATTTCTTGTTTTTAAATGCCAAAAACGTTGGCGTTAGTGATCGCACACATGGCAAAATAAGCCTGCGAATAGAATCAATAAATAGGGTTTCACCCAAGGCTACGCCCAGCTGCCTTTGCGTCATTTTCTGGGCATCCAATCAAAGGGACCATCAAAACACATACATTCTATGTCCCGCCGAATAAATCTGGTTAAGATTTTCTGGGCTAACAAACAATCGGCAGTCGGTGAAGTCGTGGATCTGATGAAGAGGGGAGGAAAGGAGAGAATTTGGGGTTGGAAGATCTCTTGGCTCATGGATGTTTTTCCTGCTTTACTTTTTTTAGAATAATATTCAAAAACACTTATAAACATGTTTATAAATTATGATTAAAAACTATTTATAAATTATTTCAAACAAGTCTAAAAATTTGCTCGTGTCGTGATTTTAATTCAACTTTTAGAAGCCCGGTAATTTAAAGGTGGAAAAGTTAATATGTGATGATATGTATGAAGAATTGTTCAGCAACATCATATCACCGTTGGCTAAACATATTTTAAATATCATTGATGCTATGACGTTTTGTTCCGGGAAAAAGCAGGCCCTAAAATGCACAGAAGAGGGAGAATATATGGTGAACACTTTGGAAGACGTGTTGATTCCATGAAAAGGCAAACTTTTTTCCAAAAACAAGAAGAAGAAAAGGCGAGGAGTGACTTTTTTTTTTGGGGGGGGGGGGGGGTTTCAAATGTCAATTCCATTTGCCAAGAACAAAATACACATACCATTTAATTAAAGAACTTAATTAAGGAATATATAGTCATATTCTAATTACGAAGGGTTCTATTCCTATGATATCTAAACCTTTTCATGGGAAAAAACCAGATCTAAAAACTATCACAATACTCCTGTATTGCATATATGAAAACAGCCTATATATACGAGTCACTGTAGCAGATTCATTCCTCTCAAACGAACCACTTCTTATGCAGATAGCTTGTTAGGAGGGCATAATTAACCTAGGTCGTCTCATAAATATTTCCTCTCTTTGTCTTTTTGTCTAGTGAATAAATATTTCCCCTTTAATCTCGTCAAAAATATTTAATCTCGTTCTTCTCGTCACCTCTAAGAATCGTGTGGTTCCTTTCATCCCATACATATATGATATATGGATATATAATTGCATGAACAACAGACCAGAGAATGTTTCTTTTGATTCTGCGGTGTCTGCATGCATCACCAGAAAATCTGATCCATAGTGTTAAAATTAGTCGTTGGTGAGTCAGAACAATTAATCCAATCTGCAACCAAACCAAGCGAGCTCTTTTGATCTTCTCCGATTGAAGAATAGGTCTACAGATTCTTCCCCCTTCACATGAATATACTACATTTAGTCTTTAATATAAGAGTTTGTTTAACTTTTATTTTGGTTCTAAATCTAACACCTTAATTCATTCTGTTTCTCATATTTATTCATTATTTTTCAAGATAATTCTTATAATAATAGTAGTTATAGCTATATATTTTATTAGTAAGAATATTTTAGAAAAAATAACACACATTTATTATAAATAACTAATTCAATTAGTTTTTTTAATCTATTCAAATTATTCAATTAGTTCTATAAGAACCCGAGATAGTGTGTGTGTATAGGCGTTTACTATCAGCTACGAAGTTTTTGCGTCCTGCTTTTTTTGTTAGCAACCTTTTTCCTCATAGTCAAAATTGTATGTATGACTTTTATAGAGTGACTTTTGAGAGATATAAAAGTGATGCGTGCAATCTTGACTTTGATACTTATGTCTTTCATTCCCCGGAGGATGGACCGCTTCTTGGTAGCATTAGCCATGTAGTGCGCATGATTTGTACTCGTGTTTCCCCCACTATTTTTTTTTTCCCAGCTCTTCATTAATTAATTCCTCCTCTACTTTTAATCCACGCTGATAAGCTTTTACCATCATTTTACTTCCTTCATTTTTTATTTAGATACCCAATATAAAAAATTATTGATTGGTTCCCACTTGAGTGGCGGACTCCAAATAAATAATACTACCCCCGGTTCTAATTATAAGAATTAGTTGATTAATTTGAAACGATTAAGAATATAAGTTAAACTAATTATTTGTAACGAATGAGTGTTGTCTTTTTCTAAAATATCATTGCTAATCAAGTTTATTGGTTAGAATTATCATTATTAGAAAGACTTCTTTGAAAAAAGATATATAAATATGAAAGACAAAATGAATTTAGGTCTTATATTTAAAATCGAAATAAAAATCAAATAAGGTTTTAT